CTGCTTAGCGTCCCAGAATGAAAATATCTCTATGCTCTCCCAACGCATATAAAAGGGCCAGAAATAATATATCTGGATTTCTGGATACATTCATGCACTATTGTTCTCCAAGCCACGCCACTAAAAAGAATAAAGAAAAAAACATGCTCACCAAATAGAAAAAAAAAATCCACTTCATCCTAGATTGCAAGCTATCTAATTTTGAAACAATTGTGATAGTGTATGATCCTAAAAGAAAATATACACCAAAATTTTTGACCTCAATACAACAGGGCTGTCAAACTGGTGGGCCATGGGCCAGATTCATCATGCACAGGCCATGCCCATCCTGGCTCCGCAAAGGCAAAAAACATCACGATACATCATGTGACATGATCAAGTTTGATACCTGTGCTATACAGCAAGCAGCAAAAACATGTCAGTTTTATCTGATCTAAAGAAAAGATATTATAATAACCATAATTATGGAAAGCTTGTAACTGTTCCCATAGAAGTATGATATTTAATTGAAAAGTAATGCTAAAGAAGTTAAGAATTTAATGAATATTAACATTAATGAAAGAACTGAGTTGGAATGGAATGTGTTGTTTTAATTACATATATTTATAATTTTTTCTTTTTTTAAGAATATAGTGTGTATTTTAAGAATGTACCAAGCAGAATCCGAATAGAAGTTATGTATTATATTGAATGTTATAACTTTAGGGTATATATTGCAGCCTAAATAAGAGTTAAATGGATAAACTTAAAAGATATAAAGGCGTCATACTCCAATCAGTAACTACAGGAGAAACTTTGTTTCATGAGAAAAGATAATAGATAATTGAAACAGGACAGACAAAAAGTATAAATATAATGATTTGAATTGAGACGAGATAATTAAAATAAAATTGAGAAAATTAAAAGAAGGGAGAAGCTATGCAGAAAATGTAAAACAGTAATAAGATATGGAATAGAACATAAAAATGAGCATGAAATTGAATTTGTGTCTGTACGAAGAAATGTAATCTGGGATTACACTACTTTCAAAAACGATGTTTTATTCGTATTTTTTTTTGTGAAAACTCAAATAAAATTTACAAAAAAAGAGAGATATTATTCAATTTCTATGTATTTCAAGGGAATAGATTGTGCACACATACACACACATATATAAAACTTGTCTATGAGTTACCTCTCCTCCATGTATATGAACTAGTGACCTATAGTTTATGAAAGCTTATGCCTTTTAATGAAATTTGTTATTTTAAAAAAGTGCATCCAGCTCCTAATTTTTCCTGGCAGAATATAAAACACTGAATAAAAACAGTAGCATACTACACAAATAAGTATAATATATATACAAAAGGGATGGGTAGTAAGGAAGCTAAAAACCAAGTAATTAAAAATAAAAGGATATCTAAGGTATGTATTAAATTTTATTAATGTCTATCCGCAATGAATTCCAAAATTAGGACTCAATTTTGAATTAAAAAAGAGGATAAAAAAGAAGCTAATATGTTGTTAATGATGGAAAATAAAAATTAGTTTAAATAATAGACAAAAAGTACAGATATTTTAAATAGAAACAATTTTTAAATAAAAGATGAGCCTGCAATCCTGTATTTCATTATCTGAAAGCGTATTCAGGTTGACTTAACTACCATAAAACTACCTGAAGTTGAAATAAGCCCATATATAGTACTTAGTCCCTTCTTTTATTTTATCAGAGAATACTTTATAACAATCTGAAACAGCAACTGACAAAGATAGGATATGCTATCTAATAGTTTATTAACAAAATGGATTATGATTCCTTAAAGGTTAATGCTTATTACAATAAATTACTATCCATACCCATGTGCTCTGGAAAATTTTTGTCAAAATAGCATTGTAAATATGCAGTAAATTGATACATTGCAATATGTAATACTTCTGTATATAAAAATACCTAAAGAGGCCAGCATTCTTCTTAGCTTACTAGAAGATAGTTAAGAAATAAGTTCCAATGACTGACATTTACTTTTGGATAAGTAAATGAAATATATCACATAGGGAGTTACTACTTCATCAAAAATGACATCTCTACAATTAAACCAAGTTTAAATAAAGAATCATCTATACTGTTCTTTTTCATAAAAAAGCATGAGAATAGAAAATTATATGGTACAAATCAGTATTAATAAAGGCTTGTATTCTGAATAGAATACAATAAGCAATTATTTGAAATAATGCATAATCAGGACCTGTGTGGGGTGAAAGTTTAGAAAAAGTAATGTAACTTTTTGCTTCCAAGTATGTAAGTATTCTCTTCTATAAAAATGTAGAAGTGTTATTCTCATACTCACATTACGGCACCAAATAATACTTTATTTCACTCCCAAAGGCTGGGAAATGTTTGGTTCAAATAAGCTTTGTCCCCATTCATGTCTTTTCACAGGCAGTGTTCTGACAGATGCCCTCAAAATCTGAGATCAACTCAAAATCTGAGGGTTTTTCCATGATTGCTTCATTGCTGTATCACTTATATTTGTTTAGAAGGCAAGGACCATACTCTGATTATTCTTGTAAAACTGTAATGAAAGATTATGCTCTCATGGAGCTACAGGTTTACTGTCATATGTTTTCACTTTGGGCAATTAACTGTTGCCACCACTACTAGTTATATCAGTATTTTTTTTTTCAAAGTAAAGGTAAGGCTGCCTTGATTATTTTTCTTTCACACATCAGAGCCACATATTCATCTTTTGGTTAACTTTGGTCATGACTCTACATTTTTACTCTCATGTCACACAGGTATTATCAAGACCACTTTCACTAAAATGATCTTGTCGACACCAATGAATCTTGATCAGAGATTTCTGTACACAAAGGTAATAACTTTTACAATTAGCACTAATAGCATGTTTATGCACCAAAGTAGCACATTACTACATCGATTGTTGTGTGCAACAATAAAATGTTACAGCTTTGCTCAGATCAGCCAATCTGAAGCTGGGTAAAAATCACATTCTTGAGAATTGTAATATCTATGCTGAGTATGTCAGCAAAATAAACTGAAAACATTGCAAAATGCAAGCATATAAAAATCTCAAATCACTTTTAAAAGAAGGTGGATTTCCTTTAAGGCTAACAGTGTTTCCAGGTAAAAATGAAACATGTCTACTAACATTTGTAGCAGAATCACAGTTAAAACTTATCATCACAAGTGCAAAAAAATGCAACAGGGAATGATAGGATTAAGCAGTGCAAATAACATAGTGACATGAAACGTAAGTGAAAGATACTCAAGATTTCATCAGGGCAAAGATGTCTTGAGGCAATCAGGTTGATGTCTCATTAAGCTTCTCCAGAAGAGATCTGCAGTGAGCTTTTAGATACATCAAACTAATTTATCATTATGTTAACAGTAGTTGAGAATGGAATAATGCTAACTTCTCCGGGAGGGGAAAGCAAGAATGAAGTTTTAATTAATACCAAATCTACAAAGATATGATTTTCTTGCTTTAACGATAAAGAGCACTGAGCAATTATGCATGTCATAGAGGCAGTCCTTGACTTAAGACCACAACTGGGACCAGAACTTCAGATACTAAGTGACGGCAGTTGTTAAGTATATTACACATGATCAGATTTTGCAACCATTTTTACTGCTGTTAAGTGAATCGTGTGGACATTAAAATGAATCCAGCTTTCTCAATTGACTTTGCCTGTCAGGAGCCAGCTGGGAAGGTCACAAATTGTAGCCACATAAGCACAAGACATTGCAGCGAAATATGAAAAGTTGCCAAGCACTTGAATTGCAGTCATGTGACTGTAGGAGAGGTGCAATTGTGGTAACTTTGAGGATGGGTCTTAAGTCACATACTCTGTGTGTGTGTGTGTGTGTGTGTGTGTGTGTGTGTGTGTGTGTGTGTAAACAAAGTTTTTTTTTGTTATATTATGCCTTACAATTTAGCCCTAATTTATTAGCTTATATACTCAATTCATGAAATCATAGGAATTCTATGGAATCCATTGGAAGGTAGCTCCTTTATAATCAAAGTCTTCCCTCCCAGGGTAGAAATTCTCAAATAATCCAAGGCAAATGGTTGTCCAACTTTTGCTTGAAAATCTCCACTGAAGGAGTACCAATGGCTCTGGGAAATATACCATTAGTTTTTGTCCTACATTTAAGCATTAGGGACAATAAATCCATAGTTTCCAAACCCAACAGCCTTTCAAGCATTGGAAGATTAGTATCACTGATACCATGTCTCCTATTACCCTTCTCTTATTTAGGCTAAACAAGTCCAAGTTTTTTTTATCATTTTTATTGTTCTCTTCTGCATTCTTTCCTGGCTCATGCTTAATCTGTGCTCTACTAGATCTTTTTCATGATATCTTTTTCACAAGTATAATGGCTAAGCCAGGTACTGTCTTATCTTCTACCTGTGCAGAACCTGACAAAGTTTTTGCCCCTGAATAGTATTTACTTGCATAAAGTCCAATTGTTCGAGCATAATGAAACATTTCAAACCTTGAACATGTCTTCAGAGGTGTCTCCTTCTAGCTTTGTGTCATTTGCAAATTTGGTAAGTTTCCCTTCTATCCTTTTCTCTAAGTAATTTATAAAAATACTGAAGAATTCTGGGCCCAAGACAGAATCTTAAGGTATCCCACTATCTATTTGCCTCTGTGTAGACAATCTTCTAATGAAAATGGACTTTGGCCCACTCCTGGTTACAGTAAGTTTAAATTACACTTTTTAGCACATCAGCTATTGATAATAGTCAGTCAGTTATCTAGCTCACCAAAAGGAACAACAGCGTGCATTAGATAAATATTTTCTCTTATGACAGAAGAATGTTTTCCCCTTTCCTGAAAAGCACACTATTTTTCTAGACTGGCAGTCTAACTTCTGCTTCAAAGATCTGTAATTTTTATGAATATCACACTTCATTTACAGTTCTGCAGATTCTTCATATAATATAGAAAAGCAGCTGCTACAGGTGAAAGAAGGCATAAAATGCATAGAAGAAGTGGTACTACCAGAATTTTGCTACCTTGGTTAACATCATGACCTACACTTTTTTCTTTTTGAAACAGGAGCTTCATTTGCTGCTCCCCTTTAGGGAGCCAAATAATGTTTAAACCAAGCTTGGTTTTCATAATTACATAACAATCAAGACTGGACAATAGGCTATGATGTTCCATCTGTACTACGAGGCTGAAAACCTTCTCTTCGGAGACTGGTTAAGTCAAAACGTGTTAAAACTTCACAGCGTACCAAGAGAATATCATCTTTTATGTATGTTCTTTGTTTCAGGGCCTGCAACTGCATAAAAGTTACATATCCAAAACCCTTTGGGTTGCGATAGACCATAGGACGTTGGAAGGCTAGCAACTCAGGCTTAGTATCCATTACTTCTTCATGATTGTGCCTTGGAGATCCTTCAGACTGATCCAAAATTGATAGACGTATAGTGCCCTGGAAAGGCCAAGGGAGATGACTGTCATAGTCCCCTTGCATGGTGTGAACAAAAAGAGAAATGTAGTTACCACAACGCTGAACACTTGGTAACTGGATATGCAGACGCAAGCAAAGTTTATATCCTGGTTTCCCTGTGTAGAAACCTGGACTATGGATCACAACGGGTCTTTCTTCCTCCTGAGCTTTCAGGTACACACTAAAATTTTCAATTTTCCACAAGAAAATACCATTACATTGTTGGGCTTCAATATCAGCAATTTTTTCCTCTAGAGTTCGGATGGTGCGTTTGAGATCTCCCATCTGGGACTGTTGTGTCTCCATTTTTGCAATGAGTTCTCTAATTTGGTGATCTTGTCTTACTAAACGACCTTCCAGTTGCTGAATAGTCTCCTTGAAGTTCTGAACCTCTGGGCTACACTCACATGAGGGTGGCATGCCTTGAGAGAAGAGTGATGGGTCGAAGGGTAAAGTTCCAGAAAAATTCATGGAAGTTGGAGTAGTAACACTGACGCTCCGAAGAGTCTGAGCCATCATTCTCATATGAACCTGAGTAAATTCTTGCATATGGCGTGCCAAATCATTTCTCTGCATCTGCAATTAGACAAAACTGAACATAACTCTTACTTGTTTTTAGTAAAATCAAGGACTGCATCGTAATGGAGAAGGGAAAATACTGCATTAAGAAAGAAGTAGCTTAATATGAAGGCTGAAAGGAATATTTTTTTTATTTAAGTGCAGGAAGAACATAATCTGTGTAAAATCTTTTCCCTATAAATGTTCATTTTGATAATAAACATTTAAATAAACATTCTTACATCAATATATAAAGATTACAAAACACCAGTTTAAGATGAGAAGCTGAAAAACATTTATGCAATTTAAAAAATCTACTCGAACAAAAATTTCCAATGATTGGAAAGCTCCTCCCCTCTCACATGGATTATATTCCATCCTGCAAATTTTATCTATAATGAATTATTGCAGGAGAAGAAATGAATAATTCAGAACAAAAAACTACCATATTGGTTGGAAAGAAACTAAAAAACCTTAGCAGTCAGCAAAGGAAAATCCCACTAAATGAAAGCAAATTACTTTCACATTAGCAATTACAGAATTTACTCATTCCATGGAAGAAACAAAATAAATTCTGAACTGATTTTCTGGGAAAACAGACTTTTCCATGGTAGAGTCTGGACTGAAAAATGGGCTACATTTTGACTATCATATATACCTAAATAAACAAAGATACTTTTTTTCCCCTCCCAGGCCCTACTTTAGCCCCAATACCAGTGTTTTTCCTCATCTGTTGTGAAGGTATGCCTAGTCCGATGCAAGGCAGCTGATTGTTGTGCCATGACTTCTTCCCAAGACGACATGTTCTTCTCCAAATTGTGCAATGCTTCTCATGATGCTTTTGAGGCCTCTAAAAGCTTGTAAGAAGCCCTTACGCAAGTCTCCAAATCACGCACTGCCTTATCACAGTGCTTCTGAGGCCTTCCAACACATTGCAAAAAGGAGCATGCATGTGGCCTCAGGAAGAAGGCCTGATTAAGGCCTAATTTTTTTTGTCTCAGGGCTAACCATATAATCATAGTAGGATCAATCTTTATACATTTTACAATAATTACAATATTGTGTGACAAATATTCTCCTAAGATCAACAAACATAAGCATATATAAAACTAATTTAAATTACCTTTTCTCTACATCCAAATGCACTATAGGTACATGATACTGGAGCAGTAGGGCAGTCATTATCATAATGATTAGGCAACTATAAAAAGAAAAAGAATGATCTGTAGTTTCCAGAAATCCTACACTGAAAAGTAAATGTGTATCATTTATACCAAAAGAGCATTTATTAAATTAATATTACTTTCTAGTGAAAAAAGTTGGAAATTCACAGCAAATTTGACGTATTTTGTCTAATTTTTTATACTCAAGTTGAGGATCATTTTCCAGACATCAAATAAAATAACAGATTAAAAAATATTGCCATTATTATTGTAAAGATAATTCATCAGTAGCATTATACTCCACTGAAATTACATTATATTAATTGTAATACTTTTAGATGGCATTGTCAAAGGTTTAAATAAATAGTTATGCATTTTTCTTTTGGATAACAAGACCCAATTAGCCGAAGTTTTGATAAAACTAGCAAGCTTTGCAAACATCATCATAAAATGAATCCTAAGATTAGATTATTATCTATCCTATTTTATGTTGCCTACAATATGAGTGGTACATAGAAAAACTGATTCAATTTCTATTCAATTTAGCTGCCAGAACTGTTATTGGAAAACAAAACTTTCATTGGACCAATGATATCCCATTGATAAAAAAATAATTCTCCAATTTAAAAAAGTTTGAAAATTCTTCATTTTTTATTATAGATTGCCTATTGCTGGCAATCAGTTTAGAAAAATATATTATAATACAAATGTTTTAAAAATTCTGTACCACCAAATTTAACCTTTGCATTTCCTTCTCAGATTTATTTATAATTATGTTTATAACAAGTAAATATGTGATTTATTTGTAATTAGTATAATACTTATTTTTCTAAAAAAAGTCACCTTCCATTTTAAAGTGTTTCCTGCTTTCAAATCTCTACTTCTAGTATAACTTATGAATGACAAAAATATTAAACTAAAAATCAAGGTAAAAGTACAAATAAAACATATTATAAACAGAAGAAATAAAGTACTTATGAAAAATAAATAAGCATCAAAGTTTTTTTAGTAAAGTCATACTTTTTAGCAAACTAATTTAGTTGATATTTTGAGATAGTCAGAGCAAGATAAGATTTAATGTCTGAAAAGATTAATATTATAATATTGGTGGTATAAAATAAATGGTGTACATATAATTTATTGTAAAAATTTAAGAGAGGCCACAATGACAGCCTTCCTGGCAAAACATTCTGTGAAAGTCAGTCTAAAGGTTTCTTTCTATAGACATTATCTGCTTAGTATAAGGTGAAGCTTTTAGATACCCAGGTCCCAAGATATTTGTGCCTATACATACAAATACACATACAGCTTTTGAATCTAACTATAAGACATATCTAAAACCAGGTTGGACAAAACACAAGATAATATTCCTCCCTGGTATTTAACTCTATGTAACAATTCACACTATCCCATTATCCCTCATAATAATGATGGGCCAAGTGTGGAATTTGTTTCCCATGCATAAGCTCTCAGCGTACATACGAACATCAAGTGACAAATCATGATCATAATCATAAAGTACAACTCTCATGCATCATAAGATACAACACTGATACTAAATGAAATAAACATAAACCATAAGATACAAATAAGGTGATATTCCTATAAGGAATAGGTAATAGAAAAGATGAGAAGGGTAATAGTAATAGTGCTATTATTATTAATAGTAATAGTGATTGTCAGAGGTATGACTTAGTAATTTGTGCTATTAAGACTTTGAATAAAATAATAAATAAAAAGCAAAGTATGTCTCTTACCTGTTCTCTGATTAGTACTGTATTACAATATTCACAGAAGACATTTGCCAAAAGGCATATTTCATCATGAACCTTTATTTTAGTGAAAGCAAAAAAATAAATAAAAAAAAATTAATTGTAATGGAAAGGGAATAATACATAATTAGGACTATTAGATGTTTTACAACTAGCTTCTCTCTGTCATAATTTCAGAAGATTTTGAAGCAAGTTCATCTGCCTTTTTGCCAGAATAAGAATTTTGAATTAATAGAGGATACCCACTCAGATCAAGTCAGAGGGATTAGAAACATTTTATAAAGTCACGCTTCATTATCCTTTTTCTCAACTCATGTATGTAGGCCTCTACATTCAAGTTTTGTTTTCCATGGGAGTTATGTTCTTAAAAAAATCCCACGGGAATAGAAACTGTGGTTATTGAAGCACTGATGTGAAAACACATGAACTACTATCAGAATAGTGTGGAGACTTATTAGCACAATAAACACCATGAGAACAAAAGGATGTTTTCCCTTGGTGTAACACATGTCAATGCTGCTAAGGTAAGATTCTCAAACCCTTTTCTCTACTCCACGGTTGTCTACTGCTAATTGAGTCATTTGACCAAAACAAAACAAAACACCAAAAACACTTCTATAGAATCTACAAGAGAATATTCAGATGAAGAATGAGTATAGTTTATGTACAATTATGGTATGTATATAGTCGCTTGACTTAGCCATAATGAAACCTGCCCATTACAATGGTAAGTTGTGATGATCATAAAAGTGGGTCACCCACATGACTTTTTTTACCATTAAGCAAAGCTGGCAGTTGCTAAGTGTGTACACCAGTTATAAAGCAAACCCAGTGTTCATGAAAGTGTTTTTTGTTGAAAACCGAAAATGCCTGTTTTCAGCAAAAACATCATAAAACATAGTAGCCACATGACAAGATGTGGCCAACAGCCCTAAATGCAAGTCTGTTGTTGAGTGCCTGACATGTGGCCATTTGTGACTGTGTCCTGTCAGAGCTTCAGAACCAGGTTGCAAGTAGCTCTAGGGAGGTCTGTCATAACTTTGAATGGTCACTAAGCAACTGGCTGTAAGTCAAGGGCTACCTTTACAGTTACTTTAAAAGTATAACACAAAATATTTTGTTCAAATCATTTAGGACATGATTCAACAGAAGGAAAAACAGCTGTGTAACACTTTCTGCTCTGACACCTATAAATACTGATCTACATCCAATATTATCAAGACAAAGTTTTAATTGTTCTCCTTTAGGTCAAGATAATGTGCAGGCAGAACTGGAGAAAGAACAATCATTTCCACAGAAAGATGCTATTATCTCAATGGACTGTGGAATATAAAACTTGATTTTATGGAATATACCATTTTATGAGACAACAGAAAGCAACTTCAAAATATTCAATGCATTATTAAAATAAGCTTATTAAATTAGTATAAATATAAAACAGTTCTATTTTGCATTATACCTTTTTTCCTTCATAAGGCATACACATGGCACAATTTGGACAGGCAATTTGCCGCCGGGGACATTCTAGCATATGTTCTTGCAACTGGTTCTTCTGGAAAATCCCTTGACACTGAGAACATTTTTCTGATGCGAATCCACAATGTAGCTGATGGTCCTGAGGAAAAGCCATTAGAAGAACAGTTACCAAAAACAAAGCAAAACAAAAAACAAAACCCTATTCATTTTTACACAATGTATAGTTTTAGACCATAATATTGGCAGATTAAAAACATCACTGTAACTACAGCTTTAACAACTATACAAGCAACAATAAACATATAGTTTCATATGGTTTTTCTCAAAGATGTAATAGAAATATTGTCACACTTAGTGACTCACAATCTATTTTTTTCATTTAAAAGTAACCTATATTACAAATCAATAGTAAACTTAAAATACAACAAATATTATGACCTCTTGCAGCGGGAAAAGAACTTGCGAGTGAGCAGCTAAAATCCACTTATGAAGTACTCCTGAAGGCATGGCTTTCAGAAGAATCTTAATGTTATTACAGGTGGTTCTTGGTTACCAACTTCTTTGCTGGTTTCTGATCAGCAAAGTCAATGGAGAAGCCAACAGGAAATTGCAAATGGCAACCATGAAGATGTCACCCATAATGGTTTGCTTAACAGCAGCAACTGGGAATGCCAGAGTTGCTGTCACTAAGCAATGCAATTTTATTGACATTGTACTTTAAGACTGTCGCTAAGCAACAGCAATTCCAGCCCAATTAACACTGCAACAGATGACTATCTGTAACTTATTCTAACGTAACAGATCTAACTCCAATTTCAAGGAAAGGGTCATATTTATTTTACTTCCTTTTATCCATTTCTTTCAAGAATTGTTGCTTTGCATATCCTAAGTATCTCTTTATATAAATCCTAAATATGCTGATCAGAATAGTATAGAACTGGACCTTAATTCTTAAACAACATACACATTAAAACTTACCTCTAAGTGCCTTAACTCCATCTTTTGACTGCAGCCTTTGTTGGGACATTTCACTATCAGTGAGAGGATTTCACGTTTTGCAAAGTTATCAGGGAAGAGTTGATTTTCTAGTAAGATTTCATTGTCTATTGGACATTTCTGACCTGCGTCTCTGTCAAAAAAAAAACAATATATATGCATATGCATCTGTGTGTGTGGGGGTATATGTATTAATACCAAACACTACACATTTGGCTATAATATGGTTCTTTACATTTCTGCAAGCAATCAGCTTTGGTTCCAAAAATGTCTCACATGAACTGGAAGTCATTTTTATTCCTGATTGATTGCCCTCATCACAGCCAGCCTGCAAATGTCTCCCTCTGACTACAGTATCTTTTATAGCAGATTAATTGAAATACCTTAAGAGCGGTGGGAGTAGAGATTGCAGCTGGGAATGTAATCAAGAAAAAGTAATATTCCAGATTTTTTTTTCTTTTTGCTTGCATTTAGCCAGGTCCCAAAATATTCATTCATTCATTTATTCATTACCCCCCCCCCCCAACCTGTATGGCTAACACAAGATATAGACATATTCATTCCATATATTTACTATATGTGACATAGTGTATTTCTTAGACCATATCTCTGTTCCATTCCCATATTTTTAAATATTTGAAACATAACATACAAAAGAAGAGAAGAATCAGTGGAGAAACAGGAACTTGTGGTTTGATGCTTGAAAGAGAGTTATGCTCCCGGATATGCTCATATATCTAAGGCCTGAATTATTTAAATCAGAATTTAACATATTAAGCTTCTACTGCTAAATAGATGGATATATGTATATGAGATTCACATTGCTATACTATTATTTTTAAATAGATTGTAAACAATTAAAATATAACTGAACCAACAAGAGAGACTTTTAATTTTTTAGACATTTGTCTAATAAATTCAGACATAATGAAAATCAAGAACTAGTTCGTTTGAGCTAGGAAAAAGGGAAACTTACATTTAAAACTCAGTCAGCATTAACAATCTTCATGGGAAGGTTGTTAAAATGATTTTATTTCTTTCAGTGAAATAAAAGCTATGGCCCATGATTCTAGTAGTAAAATAATGTGAAAAAGTATTGAGAACTTGAGTTCCTACAACCTCTGTCACACTAATGTAATTTATAATGCAGTATAGGCAATTGCTGGATCACAATTCTCATAACAGCAATCCAACTTCCAATTAAAAAATAGACATTGTATTGTTAATTTCCATTCATAGTCTACATTAATATTTCAGTATTTATTTAACATAAAACACAAACTATTGGGAAGTTCCCTCGGTTTTCAAGCAAGATAACTTTCATAATAATGGAGACAGAGCAGTGTACATGGAAGAATGAGACTGACAGATTATATAAATAAAGATTTACTGAAATCATTACACTGCATTTTCTTATCCAAAGTTGCTATTAAGTGCTATGCTTCATTTTTATCCATTAGGCCAACATGATAACCATGTATCATGTGAAAGTCATTTATTCAAAGAAATAAAATGCCATGCCATTTATTTAAGGTTTCAATGGCTCAGTTTTAGAATTTCTTCTCTTATGTGGGACAGTCACCAACTGACTGTCAGAACTTAAAAGACAACTATTGAAACCTGAACATAGGTACATATTTTGCATTTAAATAAGATTAACAGAATCTGGGGAATTGGCCACTTGTTTGATATTATATTGATTCTTAGGGGGAAGATGGGAAATGAAAGAATACAGTGCTGCTATGATTTTCTGTTATTATGATGCTTGTTTTAGTTTGAGCTGCTGTGGTTTTTTAAATTGTTTTTTTGATTCTGTTAGACACTAAGTCTACTGGGGATCAGCAATAACAAATTTAACTCAATCAATGCCTCAGTAAAATTTTCTGAAATACTGTCTTTTACTCTTTGATATTTATCACAGCTCTCTAAAAGTAGTAACAAAGTACTACTTTATGGCAGCATATCACAGTTCTAAATCAATCAACCAACAAACCAATCCCAACCAACAAACTGCTAGGAGACTGAACCTGGGGCATAACTGATTTCCTTTCAACAAAGCTCTCTGTGTTACCTTAGGGATTTGACAATGCAAGCTTTGCAAAAACGATGTCCACATGGTGTCTGTACTGCTTCCCGTAGAGCCATTAAGCAGATAGGGCATTCATATTTACTTTCCAGCGGTGGGTCAAACTCCACATCATAGCCTTGGGTTTCCTCCATAAAAGAGTTTGAAAGTGTCCCAGCAGTACCATTGCTGATGGGAACCGTGAGGCTTTCCTCCTTGGTCCCAGCACAGCAAGCACTGGCCATGGCTGCACAGCAGTTGCTCTCTTGATCATTTATTTGAAAACTTGTGTTACTATGTAGTAGACTCATAATAATTTAAAATGTGGCGGGATACCTACAGGCATGAAAAAGAAAAGAATAATTTGTCATACATACATACATATCACATTATTCCCTTTGGGAATATTAGGAAAAGTGTAATTTTATTTTTTTCTATGATTTAATCTTTATTTACCTCTATATGAGCAAACCTCTTCAATGTATTTAGTACCAGTCACTTATTTGGGGCAAAATAGTTACTGATAGAATCATCCCAAATCCATGCAGAACTCAACAAAAGTACTGTCAATGTTTGAGACGGTACACCATTCAAAGTTGTCACAACATGCCATTTAGGAGTTGCCACATACATGCAGGGGGAGGGGGGTACATGGGGGCACAGATGGGTGTCAGGTGATGGGACTAACACTGCAAGGAGCCAGGAAGGCAAGCCAGCTGCAGTCGGTTCATAAGACATCCAGGCCTGAAGAGTACTTGTTAGAGCCAGCCAGGAAGCAACTGGCTTGAAGAGAATTTGCTCCAAAAAAGTACTTGCTGGGAGTCAGCCAGGGAGCAACTGGGTTCAGAAGGGCGGGGCATGCGGGCTAGCAGAAGCCAATAATGCTGGCTAGAAACCCTTTTACTTGTATTATTCACCACGTGCCAAGCTGAGAATCCAGGAAAGAAATCCATTCTGTTCATAGTGCGGCCTCTTCTTTTGCTGGCTTGGTTTGGAACTGTGACGAATACATCCTAATAGTTCAATAATATCCCTTCTCCCATTTGCTTTTACATAGTTTAACTGTTTTCACAGGCACCGTGACTCAAGTTTGATTATATTTCTATCATCCATCCATATCTATCTATCTATCTATCTATCTATCTATCTATCTATCTAATCTATCTATCTATCTATCTATCTATCTATCTATCTATCTATCTATC